ATGCAAGTGACAACATAAATCACATATGCATCATTATCATTTTTCACAATATACACATACTTGAATATCATATCGATAATATCAAGTCATCATAATCTTTCTCATCAACATCATCTTTCATATCATGCATATACTTAAATATCATGCACATCAATATAATCAAGTTATCATCATATGCATATAAACACATTATGCAAATATCATGGATAAAATACTTTTGTAATAATCATGTATATATCCCATAAAAATCGCATAATGTACTCACCTTGAAGTGTTAACGTTCAGTAGGCTTTTCTCTCACAAGCGGTAACCTATATGATAATTATACCATGATATCTCATTAACATCTAAATTTCTCCAAAAAGTCAACAAAGACAACTATTGTCATTCTGCCCCAACCTAAAGTCAAACTTCGTATACGAGCATCTTAGTATACCTCAAACAACTCTAATTGACATATTATTAACAACCTCATAGGTCAAACGAACCAAAAGTCAACCCTTGGTCAACTTAATCAACTCCAAGGAGACCAAAGCCTCTGTGGCGACCAGAGCCTCTGGTTGTATTGACCAGAGCCTCTGTGACGACCAGAGCCTCTGTGGCGACCAGAGCCTCTGGTTGTATTGACCAGAGCCTCTGTGACGACCAGAGCCTCTGTGGCGACCAGAGCCTCTGGTTGCAATGACCATACTTAGAGAATAATTCAACATCATATCAGAGCCCCTCTGGTCCTACACAGTCTCGAAAGCTAAGGTTTGAGACATAAGGCTACTAAGGTCCTTCAGAGGACCTAACACGAAGTTAATCAAATAAGGAGCATGGACGATGGCTGAGTGTTTTACCTCTAAATGCAGACTTCGGATGGGGACTTTGAGCTCCGATTTCTCTCCCGATACTTAATGAAATCTTAAAAAGTTTGAATGCAAATTGTAGAGCAAAGTGAGGTCTATTTATATGCTAAGGTTTTTGTCGTAATAGTTGAATAAACGGACCAATGGGGAGCTTCAAAGGAGAGGTCGGTATCATATCTCTGAATTGCAGATATTACAAAACAGGTCCTTCTGTTGGACTTGTTAGTCTCCGACCCGACAGAGATCACTTTTATACCTCTGCGTTGCAGGTCTGGAGCGGAAGTACAAGACAGACACCCCTGCATTTGCAGGTCTGGTGCAAATTTTACAGAACAAGTCCTTCTGATTTGGACCTGTTTACCTTTGACTCAACCCCTTTAACTTTCGAAATTTACAACTTTTTCCCCTGACCCGACATTTTCTTCCACTTAAGGTCCGAACATTAAACTTATTTTGAGATTTTGATTACTACCTCCTCAACTAAAAACATAAATATTTTATCACCTCAAACGAATTTAATAAATTGAGCATTATCTATATAAAGACCCGTACGATATACATATACATATATATATATACATGTATATATATATATATATATATATATAAATTTTTGGGTTTTACATCTTAGAAAGAAAAAGGAACATTACAAGAAGCTAAGAATCAACGGGTTGAAGGAGGCATGTGTTCTTTTTCTTTTTTTCTTTCATTGATGTGTATCTTCCGCATATCTTTGCAAACTTTAGGGGCTGTTACCTTTCATGAAAACATCATCTTCAAAAATATGCCAAGAAATGGTTTCTACATATGTGACTATCTAAGTTGTAGAAATAGATTTACATTTTAATAAATATACAAAACAAATATAAATATAAATAAATTTGCATGTATTGGTTAGTGGCTAGTAGACCGAATCTAATTGAATTTAGAGTCGCTAAGTCTAAATGCTAGAATTACCATACCGGTTGAGTTAGAATGGAGGTAGACTCCACTAGTCTAACGACTCAACTATATCTCGTATAGGCTCGACTGCATACTCGGTTATTATTAATTTATTTTATTTTATTTTTTGCTTCAAAGAACAACTTTTACCCCCCCCCCCCCCCCCCAAATACAAATCTTATTTCGGGATGTCATGGTGGATGTGGTATTAAGATCATAAATTAGAAGAAAAACTATTTAAAAAAATATGAATGTTGTTTAAGAATTAAAGTTTCTTAGTAAACTCTAATTTTGGTCTGGTGAAAGTGAGACATAAGCTTTGATAACTTTTTAAATCGTCTTTGTCTTTATGATTCTCATTTTGCTTTAAAAAAATCATTATCACTAACCTCATTAATAATCTCTTGGGTGAGGAACAATTTTGTTTGTTTACACATTTTCTTCATTTCCTTTTCAAAATACTAACAAAACTTATATATATATACTAAAAAGGTATTCGTACAATGCAGTGAGATACATATTGATTTTAATATTTGGTTTTATTCTTTATCTCAGTCGATGTTATAATATGGTCTTATGTGATTTTGAAAATACGACAATGTTTTCATTTTTAAATAAAATATAAATTTGAAGATATCATAAAAATTTGACAAAAATATATCG